AAAGGCTGTGGTACTCGGGCAGGACAGGGCATTTCTCAGACAGAAACACAGAGTGTGTGTGCATCTGCACACAGCTGTACAAGGGGAAGAACCCACACTTCTATACGCAGGTCAGGATGGAAAACATAGCTGTGCAAAGCTGCCTGTGCAAGTGTGCTCCAGGCACAGTACAGGTACCCATAAGGTATCTTGCTGTGCAGGAGTCATTTTATGAGCCTGTGAACAGCATGCCTTGGAAAGTGCCACTTGGTACAACTAACATATCCACAGATGGAGAGGGTCAAGAACAGGAGGGCTAAAATGGCTAAATTTGTGGGACAAAGCCATTAGCACTGCAAGAGACTGGGATCTGCTCCCTAGCACAGCGAATTGTTCTCAGTTACTTCCTCAATCTCTCAGTGCCTCAGTTCCCTGGAGGCGTGGGTTCCCATTAAAAATGTAGGAGGATATATTCAATAGTGACTAATACGCTGTATTACTTAGAGCACTTGGGGGTGGTCCACGTGTCTAGATCAGGATATGAAGATTAATTATGGGCCACACCCTGTGATCTCCACTCAGCAAAGCCCTTATTAGCTTCTGAAGGTGAATCCAGCCCTGATGTCAACTTGCCAACCCAAACACAAACAGTTGGGGCTCACAGGAGAAAAAGGGAGAATCTAACCTCACTCTTCAGACCTTGTGCTTGGCAAAGATCACTTGTCTTGCCATCAGAGAAGCAAAACACTGGTAGGTAACCGATTCAGGATCTCCACAAGCAAAGCATAAAAGACAACATGTTACAGAGAACAAGGACACATGAAAAATACACTGCAGAGGGCCCTTCCAATGACATTGCTTCCAGAAGATGCTTTGCCTTCGGGTGGGTTGAAGCCACACCAAATGCACCTCCAGCCATATCCCCAAACAAGACTTACAGCTCCAGCCCACCTAACTTTTCAAGGCTACTGCATGCAATGGAGCGCTGCAGAAAAAGTGGAGGGCGAGAAAGCCACAGAAGGCATCACCCACGGAGAAAGATGCTGACCAAGGCCTGCCACGTCCCCAGAAGTCAGAGATCTTGCTGGTAAGCCCATATGAAAAGCAGCCCTGGAAGCCAGGCAGCCTCTGGCACTGCTCATCCCTGCAAGACAAAATGCACAGTGATGCAAGAAAGGACCATATCCTGTCTTCCTATGGATTCAAATCTGCCCACTGGGTTTTGTTTGAAGAAGAAAAAACTGCTTTTGTGCAACTTTTTTTTGAGCTTGTAGAAATAGAACAAGGGCAAGAGAGAACAAAAGCATTGCAAGAGGCAAGTCTCCAAGAAACACTAAAAAATGAATTCCAACATTTGCCCTAGTGTCCCTTAAAAGACAGTTCTTTTCATTTCCCGAGGCTTCTGCTGTTGCAACATGAGGGTGCTGGAAAAGATTAAAAGGGCAGACGCACTGTTTTCCTTTCAGAAAGCATTATTTTGACACTGAGCAGCTAGCTTTGCACAAGGGGAGAGCGTGTGCTCACATTTTGTTACTGGAAGGTTTCTTGGTCAGCTTAGGCCAGATCTCCCAGCTACAGCAATTGTTTGCCAGAAAGATGCAGCATTTCTGAGCACGCTAAAAACCGACGGGGCTCTGCACACTGGAGGCACTCGCTGCTCTTCTTGCCTCAGAAGGTGCACAATTGCAGAGCAAAAACCAGAAAGATGCAGAACGCTGCATCTCAAGGGAGGAAAGAGCAAATCCAGGCATTGCTGTAGTTGGCTGGAGCTCTGTGAGACACTGCCCTGACGAGGACAAAGCCACAGGAGAACAGAACCGCTGACCCCAGTGGCACCATGTCAGGCCTGTGACGCATACAACGTGACAGTCCCTTCCTAGGGTTGGGGCACTATCCCCTCTTTGCATTCACCCTCCACTATGAGCCACCTCAATGGGTCAGGAAACTTTTGGATGCCAACTAACAAGTGGGAAAGCTCTCCCCCTCTCCTCCTTGCCAACATATGCATGTGGAGGGAGACCTTTACGGATGCCCTCTTACTTTCCTGTCCTAGAGAATCGAAACGACATGAGACTTGGGTCCCCTCTTCTGCACCTTCCTCGGGTCAGCCCAGCTCAGAGGGAGCCAGCTCTCATTAAAGCTGTTACTGCGTTGCTAACGACTCCAAGTTCACAGTGCTCTGCCAGAGAAGCTGACAGCGTTTCACTAGGAATGCCTACGGGGGGGTGCAGGGAGGAATTTATAACTCGGCTGCATGAAATGGGAAAGTACTCAGAGCCAACATCATCGATCTCATTTTTCTTCCTCTGTCTTTCATATACCCATACATATTTAACCAGGAAAATAATATTTTTGGTCAGCTACCTTCCCATTCTAGTAGCATCCACTGTCCTGCTGGCTTTGGCCATTTCCAAAGCTCTTGGCCCCTATCACAGAATTAACCCTCCTGGGAGAAATATCCTTTTTCACTGTCTAATTATTCAATTCCTTCACCAGAACATCTTCCATATTCCTCAATGCTTTGAAGCTGACACAGAAAACGGAGTTGAGTGCTACATACAGAAAGAAGATATTTTACCCTCGTTTCCCGAGTGCCTCCATTTTCCCACACCTTTTTGATCCCAACTCTGTCAGGTAAGCCAAGCAATCCCAACCACTGTAACCTTTTAGCCAAATCTTGGTCAATTCATTCACATTGGAGATCTGTGTACAGAGAAGGACTAATTACACGAACAAGGCAAGCAAGATGCATCTTGGGTGAGTTAGGAAAATTTCCTCATATGAGCCAGGATTACTCACGAAACAAAAGAATGGCTTGAAGCTCCACTGTACATTTACACAGCCCTTCTTCCATATTTATGTGCATGCACAAACACACCCAACTTCCCTCATTTACACAAGTTGGTGACACCTCACTGTAGATGTTCAGGGACACTAACAACTTAGACAAGTACGTACAGACCTATGCAACAGACTGCATAGTCTCTTCCAGTCCCTAACATTGAACCATAAGCTCCTTAGATGTGCATACAAGCTCTTACGTCAATTGACGCCACAGTGAGGCTCATGACTTTCTGCACTGTGTGCACATAAGTGGGCACTTCTGTGACACGTCATTATCTAAGTAACCAAAGCAAATGCTTCCTAACCCCACGCCAAGACCCATCAAGAAGTCCCCAAAGGCAAGGGGAGGAGGGGGTATCTGACGGACAGCACAGAACAAATGGATATTGCAGCAGCAAGACCCTGCAAAAGATAGTGAGGGATGCCCAGCCAAGACCTCTACTTGCTGGGATTAACTGGATATAGGCTCCACAGCTGGAAACATCAGGTTCTCCTCAGTGCTCTCCCAAACATCTGGGCTAAGCCACCTCCCAATACTATTTGAAGTTGCGCTTTCTGGTCTGACTGAGCGAAATTAGGACTTTCGGGGTCAGAGACCCAGGAATTGAGTCAGAGAGAGGCCCAGCAGGGAAAAGGAAAGCATCATTTGTGGACAGCTTCATTGATCACCATGGACTTTCTCCCCCAAAACCACTATTTTTCATCCCCACCCACTCCCACAACATAACACGACACAGAGATCACTCCTCAGATGGCAAAGCATCGTTCAGCCATCTCCTATTCCTCCAAAAGATAGCACTCAGAAAGCTTTTCCCTTTAAGCAGCCTCAAAGTTGGCTCTGACCACTGCTGGCACGAATGAAAGGGATTTCAGTTCCCCCTCCTCCTAAATCCCATCCCTTTCTGTTGCAAAGAAAAGGCAGAGGATGACCAAGGGAAGAGAAAAGCAACTCTCAGTCGCCGCTCACCTCCCTCCCGTCTTTCTGCACAGATGCATTGGCAGGCTGGAAGGGCGCGGGGCCATTGTAGTGCCCACGCAGCTTCCCCGAAAGCCGCACACAAGCCCATGAGGGGAGCCCCAGAGCAGGTGCAGGTCTGGGAGGGCAGGGCAGGGAGCACAACGCTCCTGCAGGCGAGACACGAGCATATTTCCCCATAACCCACTCAGCCTTCCCCAGGCAAAGCAGCCTGGTGTCCTCAGGCAAAGCAGCCTGAAAAAGGGGGGGCAAAGTGATCTCCAGCACTGCAGCCCCCAGGACCCATTCTACATTCTTTAAATACACTGGGAGGGGTAGAAAAATTGCTTTGAGTCTTTCCTGCTTCCTCCCACTCCCTGCCCGCTGCATACACACATACACACACACCCAGCCCTGTGCATAAAGGATCTCTGTCCTGCTCAGCTCAGCCATGCAATGCCTGTGAGAGGCAAGAGTTACCTTATTCCCATAGCCTGAACCGCCTTCTCTCTCCATCGTGGCTGGGAAGCTGCTCCCATTCCCGCTTTAATCCCTGGGAACCTCCTATTCCTCCAAAAGATAGCACTCAGAAAGCTTTTCCCTTTAAGCAGCCTCAAAGTTGGCTCTGACCACTGCTGGCACGAATGAAAGGGATTTCAGTTCCCCCTCCTCCTAAATCCCATCCCTTTCTGTTGCAAAGAAAAGGCAGAGGATGACCAAGGGAAGAGAAAAGCAACTCTCAGTCGCCGCTCACCTCCCTCCCGTCTTTCTGCACAGATGCATTGGCAGGCTGGAAGGGCGCGGGGCCATTGTAGTGCCCACGCAGCTTCCCCGAAAGCCGCACACAAGCCCATGAGGGGAGCCCCAGAGCAGGTGCAGGTCTGGGAGGGCAGGGCTGGGAGCACAACGCTCCTGCAGGCGAGACACGAGCATATTTCCCCATAACCCACTCAGCCTTCCCCAGGCAAAGCAGCCTGGTGTCCTCAGGCAAAGCAGCCTGAAAAAGGGGGGGCAAAGTGATCTCCAGCACTGCAGCCCCCAGGACCCATTCTACATTCTTTAAATACACTGGGAGGGGTAGAAAAATTGCTTTGAGTCTTTCCTGCTTCCTCCCACTCCCTGCCCGCTGCATACACACATACACACACACCCAGCCCTGTGCATAAAGGATCTCTGTCCTGCTCAGCTCAGCCATGCAATGCCTGTGAGAGGCAAGAGTTACCTTATTCCCATAGCCTGAACCGCCTTCTCTCTCCATCGTGGCTGGGAAGCTGCTCCCATTCACGCTTTAATCCCTGGGAACAGAGGCACGATTCAAAGCGGCTGTTCACCCACCAGAGTGGGCTCCCCCCAGCAACCTCCTCCTCCTTCTCTCCTCCCTTTCTCCTCGTTTGTTGGGTCCAGATTTTTTTTTATAATGTATTCTTTCTTAATCCAGGCAGCAACCAAGACACTCCTTCATTGCCTCTCTGCCTCCCCGTTTCACTCGCAAAGAAACAGCATTGGAGAGCTCCTTCCTCCTCCACTGCCTCTGTGGACCTCCGGTTCCCCAGGTCTGCCTTTCTGCAGCGTGGCGTTAAGGGAAAGAAAGAGAGTGAAAGAGGGAGGGAGCGTGCAAACAGGGAGGAGGAGGAGAAGGAGGAGGAGGAGGCCAACAGGGTGCGGGAGGAAGGAGCCAGAGCGTGGCTGGCTGCTTTGTATCCAGAGCAGTGCCGACAGCCCCTTCCCTCCCCCCCACCAGAGGAGGACCTGCGCTGCTAATGGTCTGTACCAATTTATTCCACTTAGGCAGGGGCACTTCGCCCTGCAACGGGAGGAAAAGCCAGGGAAGGCTCTGAGATGGCCCCTTAAGGAATTGGTTCCTGCTCTCCTCACTCCACGGCATCACCCACTGAGTTTGCAGCCACAGGCTAGGGGAGATGCTCTCCCAGATCAGCAGGCAAATGGAAAGTGTGAGGCTAGGAAGGGCTGGGCGTGAGGGAAGGGTCTTGCTGGTGAGGAGGCTCAGCACCTCTCTGAGAGAAAGCAGTGACCATATGCTAGGTGGAAAGCAAGGTTCCCCTCCAGCCTCTCAGGAAGGCAGGCTGAGCTCTGCTCCACTTTCTTCAAGTTCACTTTAGTGGAAGCACCCTCCACTCCTTGTTGTGCATGCCTCCACGCCCAGACTGATGGTTCCCCAGCTGAGTCCACTTGGGCTTTGCAAGCAGTGGGTAAGACTTGTTAGATCTCATGCAACTCCTCTTCTATCTAGCACCATGTCTTTCCACGGCCCCACTCAGCCATCCCTACCCAAATAGCAAGGTACCCCCACATCCACCCTGGCAGCTGACTAAGGGCCCTGGCACTGGGCAAAGGACAGCAGGAACATGCTTCCCCCACTGGAAGGAGGCTCTGGATGTGACTAGGGCTGCCCCTAATCTGGGGACAATTGCACCAAGCCCAGTGGGCAGACAGGACACTTCTGTGACCTCTAATGGTGCAGCGGGACCCTAGGGATACTCCCTTCATTCATAGGGACCACCTGGAGGACGCAGGGCTTGAAGGGGCTGGGGAGCACAGTAAAGATCTTACCTCCTGATACTGCCCTTTAATAGTTAACCCAGGCAAGGCTGACTCATGCTCAGCAGCAGATTTGTCCGAGATGGCTGAACACCACAGTATGTATGTCTCTGAATGCCACACTCACAGCTGGACAGTTTAACATGAGCTAAAAGTCAGTCCTGAGGTTGGGAGCGAGTTACCTTTTACCTGCCCTGCCACTGCTGCCTGCTCACCTGCTTCCAACCAGATCAACCCCTCCATACCATCTCTTCCTGGCTACATGTTCCACAGTGGACATGCACAGATCCACAGCTACAGCTACTCCCTTGTTAATCCCTCTCTTCCAGATCTGGTAAGATTACCTGTAAGTATAGAAGGTAACCTGTAGGTATAGGCAGATTTGCTTACGCTTTACCAAAAAAGGAACAAAGAAAAAACCACAGCCTTCCAGTTACTGTGAAAAGCTTCAGTACTCAGGGAGCTGAGGTCCATATTGTGGAGCAATCCCAGTGACTCCCACAATTTTCATCAGGCTTTTCATTTTGAACCTATAGCATTCAGACCCCAGTTTTAACTTGTGGATCTCGAGGGGTACCTGGGAGCAGAGATGTCTGCTATGTAGCTTGGAAGTCAAAGCATTACCCACAAAGTAGCAAGCATCAAGACACGCTGAAAAATCCTAACTGCACCATCACAGGGCCATGGACAGCAGCTCCTATACTCTTTCCGCCTGAAGTGAAGCAAGCTGGAGGACTCCACACATGGGCCCAAGCCACTGCCTCAGGTGGAAGTGAGCATTGCTCAGACTGGCAAAGCCTGCACTGGACAAACCAGGGAGATGATGCCTCCAGGCCAGTGCTCAAGTACTGTCCATGGAGGGTGATGCTTGAAGGAAGGTGCTTTGTAACAGTCTCTCCCCTCATGCTACACCTACTCTGTGGATGAACAAGGATGAACAAGGACTGCCAATCCAGAATCCTTCACGCAGAGCTAAAGAGACCGCACAGCTGGGCTAACTTCTGCTCAGCCACCTCCTCTGTAAAACAAAGGAGCAATTCCTGCAATCAAAGGGAACGTGGCCTTTTTTTGTCCTTGGTCTCATTTTCTGCAAGGTACCTAGGGAGAGATCAGCTCCAAAGACTACTTGCCTGGGAATTTTGTGCCAATTCAGCTAGTACTAAGGATTTCACTGAACTCTATGTCTATTAAAAATGCATAATGTCCACTTATATCAAAAGGGCGGATTCAGACCCAGCGCTTTTCCTGCATGTCCCAGGCTACCTGCTGTTATGGCATTCAGGAGATGGATAGGAAGGAACTGTCCCTTGAGGCCTATATCAAGAGATAAGAAAGGGCACATTCATTGACTATTTCAGGGCTGGGTGAGAGAGGGGAAAACAAGGGAGAAGAGACATAAAAACGCTCCTGCCACAAAACCTAAACACATTAAAAGTCAGGGAGGAGGGAGAGGAGATGTGCTACGCCTAAGATTTATAAAAATTATGGGTGAACAGTAACATTTCAGGCTCATCCCTGCTTCAGTGTTTCCGAAGACTCACAAAGGTGAAAGGCACTGGGAAAAGTGTCAAAGAAGCTCAGGAGGGACATAGACACATACCAAGAGGCATTGCTGCGTCCCTCCCCTGCCCCCCCAGCTGAAAATTACAGCCTGACTCACTCAGAGCTCCTTTTTGTGATCAGAGCAGCAGAACAATGGAGCAGAGACGCTGCTCTGACATTTTCCAAGGTTGTCCCTTTGAACCTTAGCATATCGACTTGTTTGCATGCATGGTATGGAGTGTGCCACATTCACCAGAGCCAAATTCCAGGAGAGGGCAAGCCTGCCAGCAAGAAGGGTATGGGAGGAGAGGCTCAGGCAATCTTCCCGAAGGATCCCGGGATAAAGGGGGGAAGGGTGTTGTTTGCCTGGAATCCAGAGTGCTTCACAGAGGATGCAAATCTGAAACATGCAGCATCGCTGTTGACAGCAGTGTATATAAACAGAGCAATATTTTCCCGCTCCCTTCCCCTTCTTATTATAGCACAAAATACCCCGAGTAAAATACATACACGCAACAATCCACTACAAAAGGAAAACAAAGCCCCAAGTGTGCATGTGCCTGCACACACACACACACACACACAGATATTCTTCTGGAGAACGTAGCATTTATTCAATACCTTAAATGTCATTCTTTAAATATTAATGCTGTGCTTCCAGCTAGGTTTATGTAAGGTTTATTACCACAGGACTGGAGGCACAAGAAAACCTAAACTAGATGCTCACAGCCTGACACACTCTGCCTGCCCCAGCCATCCGGAGGCCCACTCCTTGACCGTGCTCCGTCTCCCCCTTCCAGACTCCAAAGCCACGCAGCAGCAGAGCCGGGGCAGACACACTCCTACCAGGCTTTTTTCCCAGAAGGGGGCAGAGCTGCAGCTCCCTTTCCCCCTCTTCCCCATGCTTGCAGTTCGCCATCTGGCACTGTCAGGAGGATCTCTGCTTGGAACCGTGCTGCTGCCAGGCACAAACACAAGCGGATGCCTCTCTCCGGCTAAACAATAACCTCATTAGCCGAGGCAGCACAGGGCAAAGGGAAGAGCGCGAGGGCAAATATTCAACAAATAGCAGGGTAAGTTTCTGCGGTGCACGCACAAGCACAAGTGCTGGGCTGCTGCAAGGGAGCAGCGTACCAGCTGGAGCAACCCAAGGGCTGATGTGGTCCACGTTTCTCTGTCTAACCTGGCTGGCAGCCTCCCCTGCTACCCCAAACACAGCTTCACTCCCTCCAGCAGTGCTGTCTTGTTTTCAGGCAACAGGCAGCCTGAACATGGGAACTACCTCGCCTCAGGCTTTCTGGGATTTTCCTCAGCCCACAGGCTGGGCTCCAGATTATTACCACCTTGTGGTGCCAGACTTGAAATACCTACAGAAACAGGACGAGGAAAAAGATGGTCCAGTTTTTGAAATGACATGCCTGAGCTCCCCAGAGCCAACCTTGACATTAGGAAGGGAGAACCTCATTTGATAGTCCCACTTACCTTGTCATGCAGATGAGAGGGACCCTAGGCTCTGGGAGGGGCCATGAAGAAAAGAACCCTCAAAGCTTGGCCCCTTTGCCAACCTTAGACAATTCCCCTTCTTCCCACAGGAGGGCTGAGCAGTAGCTGCTCATAACCAGAAATCAAACTAATCACTCGTGTTAACTCTCCATGCAACAAAACCCCTCAACCCATTTATGGTGCTCCCTTTAAGCACCACTGTCCAACCCACTCTCTGGAACAGATCCTTGCTCCTAATTTGGTTGACATGTTCATACTGGGCAAAAAAAAGATCCTCCAGCAAGCACCTGCTAGCCCAGTTATTATTCTCCAAGGGCCAAACAGAGGCCAACAGGTTTTCAAGCAGAGCATAAGCTTCTTACGGAGTGGAGCAACACGTTCTGCTATTCGCACAGATCGTTTCCAGCGCATGCTGCTATTGCCCTTGTTGCTGTGCTACAGAGAGCAATTACCAGCCTTTTAGTCTACTGGGCTTCAGCAGGGGGGAAACTGGCGGATAATTCTGTGACAAATCTATTCTGAAGCCAAGGTTTCTTTTTCTTCTGGTAAAGGTACAGCAAGCAACAATAAACGCTGTCATCCCATCCAAAATCTCCTTATGTTCCACTCAAAAAGTCTATCTCACAGGCTTCACCTACACAAGCTATCAGAGATCCTTCCTCATCACCCAGCTCGACTTCTGCGACCAGC